GTCCGGGTTCCAAATTCAATCTCTGCGCCACTCACTGGATCTTATCTTGCTATAGACAATACAACCATTAATAGGAACAACTCCGAGACACCGAACAAATTCCCTATCACAACCATTTGGCCAGCTTGAATCGTTCCATTTCGGGAACGTGGACCAACTACAAGCAACTAAAATGATGCTTCCTACGGCAATCTTGATCATCCCACTTTCGGTTTCAACCTCCTCCCCCAGTTGCCCTTTCTTCTTTTGGAGGTTCTCCATCAGAAGTTCTTCCTCCCTTGTTTCCAAGGCCGAGGGCACAGCTTTCCCTATGACCGACGTTGGTTGACGAGTTGCCCCGTCTTCGTGGGTTTTGGGAAATTCTCGGCTACCTTAACTTAAACTTAACTTGCTCCCATCCTTCCTTTGCCTAAGCAAATCCTTGAGGTCCATCTTTTCTCGGACCAGGTCGCGCCACTGGCATGCTGGGTATCTGTTCGTAATGCTTCTTTCGATTGAATGAAGTGCCTCTGGACTCTTCTCATGAATTAGATTCTATTCGTCTTCTTTATTCTTAAGAGAACCCCCCACCCGAACCATTTTTAAGACCCCCAAGCCCTCTCGAATGAGTTCTACTATAGAAACTTTCAACGTAGACCCGGGGACAAATCTTTCACTCACTGAGAAGTGAAAACCTGTGACTAGATCGTCCTGAAGACGGATGCGACGGGAAGAAGTGCCATTTGGAAGTGTTGCTGACTTAACATTTAGGTTTCGGCATAAGAAAGCTTGCACTGTCTTTTCGCACTTAGGCGCACAGCGTGCCATTGGTAATGATTCTACTACGGTGCCACAAATTCGCAAGCTGATCCTAAGTAATCGTTGTTGTTCATTGCATTCCGGAGGAACTACTTCGTTAGGATTGGGGAATTGCTGCGATTCTTCCTGAATAGCCTGGATTCTCCCGTCGAGAGTCATTTTGAAAGTATTACCTAAACTCTTCCGACTGAATATGATAAAGCCTATAAAACAACGAGCTACTATCATTTCTTCATTATAAATTAATATTTTCTTCGAACTTGATGCACAAATAGATAGAATAGCAGCAAATAGCATCTTTCTAGCCTGCGAACTCAATCTCATTTAGAAAGCCTTATTTCTATCTATCTTTCAGCAACTGAACGGGAAGTGGTTTACGAAAGCACTTTAGAATCGGATGCGCTCGCCCAGCGAGAAAGGCCCTGACCCTCAAAATCAAAAAGAAAGAAGAGAACGAAAGGGGAAGAGAACTTCGTATTTTGGTAACTCTCTAGGAGTCATGTTTAACCTTGAATGCTATTAATAGATTCTACAGCAATAGTCCCCCGGACTCGGAAAGTAATAACGAAAATGGCTAACCCAATAGCAGATTCCGCAGCTGCCACCGTTGGAACCAATGAAGCAAATGATTGACCCATCATATCATCCGAAGAAACAGAAAATACCAAAAAGTTCGAATTCACAGCTAATAACATTGATTCAATTGACATTGACATAATAGGAATATTTCGTCTATTAAGGAGAATACCCCGAATACCTGAAATAAAGATGATCATAGAAAATGTAAAATATTTGATAGGATCCATTTCGGGAACGAAGAATGTAAGAGAAATTCAAATGTTATAACTCCAGTACGTCAGGAAACATCAGAAAAAGAAAGACTACCCTCCAATCAATTTTATAACTTGGACAAAGTATTCACTTCGGCTTCCATGATCCACAAGATCCATATAGATATGGTTTAGCCAGTGAATGTTGTCCACGCTAAACAGAACCCGTTTGGCTACCTTGTTGCGAACGAAAGCCAGCCCCCTAAAAAAAAAGGAGCATTTCGTTGGCATATGCTACGAGAAAATCTTGGAAATAGAGAGAGCTTGCCCCTGCAAAGTGCAAGTCTTGATTTATATACGTCAGATTGTCCAGATCTACCTCATCTAAGATGGAGAATTGGACAATCTCAAAGATGGAAGCTTGTGGGAAGGGGGGGAGGAATAGGAAAAGCTCTTCAATTAGAACAATGGACTATTTATCTTTATTTCTCAACTTGGTCAAAGACCATATACTGATCACTATCATCAGTGGGTTCTTTCTCATTTACCTCGCCTCCTTAATCTTATTCTACCCGCTTCCTGTCTTATTCAAAATAAGCTACACAAGCAAAGGTGCGGTACACGGAACACCAACCCAATCTCGACAAAGAAAATTCAAGTACATCAACAATATAGTTTGAAAGTCAAAGAACGAATGACATGTGTTAAGCATAGTGCACGAATGAACTGGGTAGCATTCCATCGAACTAAGGCAGGGAAGGTTTGGTTCGGGTGAAGGAATCGGATATTTAAAGCTGAAGTACGAGTGGGTTGAGAAGACAGTTGTGTTTAGGCCAGAGCTTAGGAACTGGCAATCATCGGTTAGAGATGGCTTGTTGAAGGCTGGGGTTGACCCGTATCCGTAATTGGGGTTTTGGTTGGAACATTTTGTAGGCACTAAGATTGGTGGCTCGACTTTTGATGGTTCGGGGAGGAGGCATAGCGCAGCCGATCTGCAAATCCTGTGACCTGTGAATATTAAAGTTGCTATGTATGCAAGTGTGGAAATACTAAATTGGCATATACTTTCTAGTCTTCGAGGTCTAGGCCAAAAGATCGGATGTTGACCCCACCCGGCCGAGAAGTTAGCAAACTGGCATACTGAACTAAGCCGGAAAGCAGGAAAGGAACGAAAGAGGTCAATTTAGCCTAAGAGATTACAGAATAGCAGACGAAGATCAAGTAGAGATAGTAGTTGGATTGTTCGCATGTGTCCTAAAGGGTGCCCCATCTGGTTGTTATTGAAGCAATGAAAGTCTAACCTTGATCAGTTCCGAGGTTAGCTTCAGCTAAGTTGTTTACCACTGAAGGGTAAAAAGATTTGAAACTAGCTAAAGACCAGCGTAGTATCAAGGGCTCGGCCTCACGCATCCTTTATGAGTTGACTAGGTCTCTCTAAATAAAACAAGCTTTGTAGAGGCGATTCCCATCTAACTTGGTCTATTATCGATGATTTTCTTAGAAGAACAGCGGCAAGTTTGAAAGCATGATTTTTCCAAGAAGGGCGAGGCGCCCCCCAGTATTCCAAGGGGAAAGATTTCAACATATAAAGAAATTTCCATTCTTCCTGTTCCCGCGGCAGACGTATGCTCGGTTGAAGCTGGATTTAGAAAGAGTCGGGCACTTATGTTTACTAAACGAAGAGGGTAGTACCTTTTCTAAGTTCCTCGAATGGAGGACAAGGGACAGATGAAACTCCCAATGGTATCGAACTGTCTTCTATGATTGCCTTCACATAACTTGAGTAGACAACAGCTGGAAGGAAGTCCCTTTTGCAACATATAGGCGCTTGATAGCTTATTTACTATGAACCATCATTCCTTTCTTTCGGCCTTATTCCACAAAACCAGATTCGACCCTTTAATGCTCTTTTCTGGAGAGCTTACCATTTTCCTTTCTAGGAATTTCATGGTGGAGTTTTCTTTCATTTAGGGGAAATAGATTATACCCGCTCACTTCAGCTGGCGGGTCAGCTCTCATGGTGGGTAGGTGAGCCAACCATATAGTTGGTGGGCCCTAAATATTTTCTCTCTCTAAAGTGGGGGTCAACCAAACGCTATCCATTCTAGCCAGTCTCCTTTGGTCTTTAGGGCTTCAGGCTCTCAAGTCGGGAAATCCAATTCGAAAGAAAGCCCTATTCATTCTAGGGGGTGCAAGCTGGAATGGCATAAAGTCACGATAGCTGCCTTGCCTGAATTATTCATTCAGCCCGTACGCTTCTATTGGCTACTGGAAATAGGGTTACGCGAGCTGTAGGCTATCGGGGAGAGGAGACTTATTAAATCCCTCTTAAGTAGAAGAAGCGACTTTCACTGGACCGGGAAAGACTTTGACGCTGCTTAGACTATCTAACGTACCAATATCCGAAAAAGGGGGTACGCATAAGGCTATTCAGTTATCCCAAACGTCAAAGCATATAGATCGATTCCTAACAGTTTGCACATGGGTAAGCCCAGGAACTTATTAACCAC